TTATGAACCAAACCATATCACATATACTTTCATAGTTTCATAGTCTTCCTTGCAAGAAAGGAGTGAAGTTTCATTGTCAAAGAGGATTTGCCTGATGAATATCAATGCTAGAGGAGACCTAAAGAGTCTTATGCCTGAAAATCAGATTCACTCTCCAGTTATCTTGAAAGCCTTGTCTATTTTGTCTTCCCTTTCAATTTCAAGCAAAGGGGAAGCATCAGCTTTTTAAAAAAATAGTTGGGGGGAAAAAAGGAGTAGAAAAGGAAAGAAACTATTAATAATCAGAGCTTCTAAGAAGCATCAATATCCATAAATTATGAGGGGTTTGCACTAGGCTTTCATCATGTCACTTTTTAGAGCCATATGAAAGAGTTGAAGAAGAAAATAGAACTTGCAGTCAGATATCTTTAGGGGTTTTTTCCCTAGAAAACAAAAATTATTTACAGTTTGGAATATTAAAGTAGTTAGAGCTGGATGAGCTACTGTTAGGATCTGATCCCAAACCTGCTGAAGTCTAGGAAAAGATTCTCATTGATTTCATTATGCTTTGGATTAGATACCTAGATTTTTAGAGTCAGATACTAATCTCATTTATACCAGTGCAAATCCAAAGTCTTCACTGAAGTCAATGGAATTATTCAGATTTAAGGGGGTGAAATGATTGTATCGCCTGGCCCTTAGCCTGTTACCTAAGAGCTGAATGTCTGTTACCTTGTAAAGAATGATGCTCAAAATGTCTTTATGTACTACTAGGTGGGAGGGGAGATTATCTTTGTCCCCTATGGGATTTTCCTCTGTGTCAACAGATCCAACTGTACAACAACCATCTGACTTTTGAGCTTTATTATCTGACAGCTCTGGTGAGTTCTCCTTAGAATTCACACAGGGGAAGGGGGAATCAATGGGATCTAGCTTAGCTTCCCTGGTCGAGAGCCTGGATTTTAGCACATGTGGCCCTAGCTGCTTTAGTCTCTCTCAGAAGTTCTTGACTCTATGACTGTTTGGTGGAGTTGGGAGAGTGACTGGAGTGGGGGAAGGTGTGGAGAAAAGGGATTAGGTAATGGAAAGGTCCCAGCAGAACACTGGAATGTATGCTGAATTACTGAACAATAGGCCTTCTGCTCTCTTGAAACTGACACATGCAGGGACCCCTGCCTGAGCTCTGGACAGCAGCAGTGTGTATGGAAGTGCCCTTCTGTCCCTGAGCCCTCGAAGCTCTGTGTGGAGCAGACAGCTCTGGGGAGAGGGAGTTATGCAGAGGGGGCCGGCCAACTGCCAATGGAGTTGAATGGCTAATTTATATTTTTTAAAGGTGTGGACAATGGTAGGGAGAGGGGCAACTGGGGATAGTTTGTGTGGAAGGGGGAAGTCTGACATTAATCCATAAACTAATAGACAGTGAGGTCATCTTCTCCAGAGGCAGAAGAGGGAAATATTAAGGGAGCATAGAAGCATATGTCTTGATAGGGATTTTTTAAGGGACAATTTGAAAATAAGCGTGTGTGATTATGATCCAAGAAGCCACTCAAATGGTAAACCTATGTAAGCCATGTGATCTTATCACTGTTACCCTCCTCCTTGCTGAGTTTTACAACTCCAGGCAGAAGAAAGAGATAAGTAGTTGTGCACATGCATTCCTAAAGTTATACAGAAGCTATCCATGTGACTGCTGAGGGAAGATGCACAGTTACAGAAGAATAGAGAGCTCAAATGATGATCATGTGCTGAAGGATGAAGAGCTAATAAAGTAGTCTCCATGCTTGCACAAATGAAGCAGTGGTTCTGTTCTTGTCAGCACCTTATATACTGTGACAGAGTCAGACCAGAAGAATATAAGAGAGTGCTGGAAGGCAGATACATCAGCCTTCAGAATGAGCAGACCCTTGTTCCCTGGATAGCCAAACAAAGGTGACTCCAGGCCAATTAAGACACCTGATGCCAATTAACCAGTTAAGGTGATTAGGCTAATGAGGACAGCTGGAACCAATCAAGGTCCCACTTATACTGTTTAAAAGCTCTCCTTCCAGTGCCCTCTAGGAGGCTGAGGTGAAAGGAGCTGGAGGAGAGGAAGTATTGCTGAATCCTGAGATAAGGGTGAAGCTAGGAAAAGGGGACCATGGGGGAAGTGGCCCAGGGAATCAAAGAGGTGTCAGTGGTGAAGGGAAAGCCACCAACATCTGCTAACATAAGGGTCCCTGGGCTAGAACTTGGAATAAAAGGCGGGCCCAGGTTCCCCTTCCCCCCCCATGCTCTACAGAGATCCCCTGGAGAAGGGAATCAGGACTCAGTCCAGGCAGGAGGTCAAAGTGCGCCTACTGAGCTATGGAGCAACAGAGACTGTGGGGTATTCCCCCTTCCCATCTCCCACGCTGGCTGGTGATGAAAGTAACTCTATAGGCTGTCACTCTTGCCACTGCACTGAGAAAGGGAGGTCACATTGAGGCCTTATTGAGTTTCTGAGGCCACTGAAACCTCCCAGAAGCGCGGGACCCACCAGTACAGGCTCAGGGCTTTGTCACAATACATATTTGTGTATAACATTAACATTATTAATCCAGTCAGTGCACTCCAGGGATATTTGTTATATAGCTAAAGTTCATGAGTATGGCCCACTGGCATATTTCATGTGACACAACAGTCTGTCTAAACATGTAAGATTCCTTATTGTGTACCAGGCAAGATCTCAATGGGTTAAACCATTTATCACAGGTTAAGTAGGATGCATTTCTCCTATTCATCCAAAAGTCCAGCTGAACTTATTTTTTCCCCCAGAAAATCCTTCGAACAGTACTTAGTAGAAGAAGGTAGGTAAGTAGAAGGCACTAGGTAGAAGAAGCTGAAGAAGCTCTTTCTCATAGTAGGATACATGGTTTCAGAAGCAGCGGGGCTTGTGCTAGCAGGACAAGGAAATCTTGAATATTCCATATCCGTATCTATAGTTGGAAATTCACTGTACATTAATAAAACTAAGCACAAAAAAATAAATCCACCCATGGCCAGATCAGTTAGGGAATCATGTTATTTGATTTTTAGTATTATCTAGGCATTGCATGATATGTTCTGAATTGTAGAAGTGCAGTATGCTAATCTGGCATATTTTGAGACCAGTTAAAAGGAAAGAAGTTGAATAGGGCTTGGGTTAATGATTAGTCTAAAGGCATAAATGTCTGTTACCATTCTTAGATCTTTTATTCAAGTTCAGGTGAAAAATTAGACTTTACCAGGAAAGGACAGTTCCCATCCCCCAGTCTAGTGCAACTTATTATTTTCATAACAAAAATTATTGGTGGCCAAGCCCATTCACCTTGATGAGGTTTCTGAACAAAGGAATCCTGTCACACAAGATAATAGACCCACTTTATTTTAAGTTTCCAATAATTTCAAATTAATTTGCTATTCATAGAAACAGCACAGAATTAATTTGTCATTCATGTGCACGTGCCCATTCTTTTGACTTACACTTCATTTCAGTGTTGGTTACAAATCCGCCCTGTTTTACAGAGGGCCTGATTGTGGCTTTGTTGGGTGAGAATGCCACACACTTGGTCCTGGTTTATTAATTTCTAACCTTTTATTTGAACCAAAAGCTTGCCTTGTGATTACAATTACTATTAAAGTAAGGAATAACAGACATACCAAAAAAGATAGTGACTTTCTCCTGGCACATAGGCAGGTCATGATTGATTTCTCCTATGGTAGTTTGATTACCCCTTACAATTTACCACATTTTGTACACATTCAAATTACATTTTCATTAATTCTCTTCCAATCACCATTAAGAATTATGAATATTACATATCTTGTGCAATTCTCCATAACATGCATAGACTTCAGTTGGCGTAACTTTTGCTGTCCTCGCTATTTTCATGTTGTTATTTCTCTTTTGTAGTTGGTTTGTTGCAACTGATCATGCACTAATAAAGCATGTTTAACCAGACCACTTTTACCCTTTGCTTTGCATAGGATCTTTTGCGACTTTCCTGTTTTTCTCTAATTGCCCTTTGGCAGTTCATTTTTGTGTATCTGTTGTCCTTCAATCTAAGCACATCCTGTGGTCAAAACATCCCCCTTTGTCTTATGCAATCTACCCACACCAGTTTTGTACTGCATGTATGAAGTGGCCATGGGCTTTTCCTGTAATTTTTTTAAGATACATTCTGATATACATGTGTATATACAAGGTTTAAATGTTTGCGTGAATAGAGATATCAAACTGAGCATAAGAAAACACTCCAAATACTAATGATATGGCCAATAAATCAACATTAAAAAGTTACAGTCAGAATTATTTACTGCATTAGATATTGTGTTTTCTGCAGTCCCATTCTAACACATCAAAAGATTTTATTGCATATACTCAGAATTCTTTATATAGTTGTACTGTCTGAATGACAACAGCCTGCATTTCAATACCGTTTGGTATGTAGGATCTCAAAGCCCCAAATGTTTACAACTATAATTGATTAAGCCTTACCAGACTCTGTGTTGTGGTGAACTATTACGATACTCGCTATACAACTGGGTAAAATGGGGCACAGAAGTTAATTGTTTTGCTTAATGTATCCAGCTTCTCAAGGGGAGAGCTAGGAAGAGATCAAGAGTCCTGACTCTCAGTCCATGCCTCTGTTCACTAAAACTTACTTTTCATAAATTTGAAAAATTACTGCTGCTGTCAACCATTAGAATGTTAATTTTGCTTTTAACTATGTGTAACCCACACACCTCCTGGGTGTGGTGTTCTGTCCCATCTAGTGGCACCGAGACCACTTAGAGAGAGAGAGAGAGAGCAAATGAGTCTGCTCTACAGCCTTAGCTAACAGTCAGTTGGCTTTTAGCTCATGCGGTAGAGGCGCATGCATTAAGTGTCAGAGGTCTGTCGGTGGTACATATGCACAGATTAGTCATATTGTAGCAGGGAATACGGTAAACAAACAATGTCCTTAAAGATGCAAACTCCCAAACTCAAGCCTTCCCCCCCACCCCCTTTATGTTCCCTTAAGGCCTGGCCGTGGACTGTATGGAATTGACAGCATGCCAGACCTGCGTAGAAAGAAAAGTTTTCCCATCGTTCGAGATGTGGTGAGTAACCTCTGATACCAAAAAACTATTGATTCATTGGAAAATTATCTGTAGCTCTTTCATGTAATGGCTACTGTGTTTGTGATTAACTGTGTACCCTGCAACTGTTATATGGAAAATAGGGTTTAGGAAGATGGATCTAGACCAGGGGTGGGCAAACTATGGCCCGGGGGCCAGATCCAGCCCGCCAGCCATTTTAATCCTGCCCTCAAGCTGCTGCTGGGGAGTGGGGACTGGGGCATGCCCCACTTCGGTGCTCCGGTGCTCCAGCCAGAGAGCAGGGTTGGGGGCCACTCCATGTGGTTCCCGGAAGCAGCGGCATGTCCTTCCTCCAGCTCCTACGTGTAGGGGCAGCCAGGGGGCTCCTCTCTGCACGCTGCCCCCGCCCCAAGCATCACCCCCTCAGCTCCTATTGAAACCGCAGCCAATGGGAGCTGTGGGGGTGGTGCCTCTGGACGGGGCAGTGCGCAGAGCTGCTTGGCTGCACCTCCGCATTGGAGCCGGAGGGGATACATGCTGTTGCTTCCAGGAGACACTTGAGGTAAGCGCCACCTGGAGCCTGCACCCCTGAGCCTCTCCCTGTGCCCCATCCCTGATCCCCCTCCTGCCCTACAAACCCCTTGATCCCAGCCCAGAGCACCCTCCTGCACCCCAAATTCCTCATCCCCAGCCCCACCCCAGAGCCTGCACCCCCAGTCGGAGCCCTTACCCCACCCCCGTGCACACCAACCCCCTGCCCCAGCCCTGATCCCCCTCCTGCCCTCTGAACTCCTTGGTCCCAGCCCGGAGCACCCTCCTACACCCCAAACTCCTCATTCCCAGCCCCACCCCAGAGCCTGCACCCCCAGCCGGAGCCCTCCCCCGCCCCAGCCTGGAGCCTCCTGCCACACCCTGAACTCCTCATTTCTGGCCCCACCCGAGCCCTCACCCCCTCCTGCACTCCAACCCCAATTTTATGGGCATTCATGGCCCGCCACATAATTTCTATTTGGCTCTTGGGCCAAAACGTTTGCCTACCCATGATCTAGATCAAAGTAAGATCTGGTAATTATGAGTTACTAAATATGATTATATTTCACTTAATATCTACATTTGATTTGAGCTGAAATTATTAATAGAATCAGATAATACCTGAGCGTGCATCTGTGTGTACCATATGGGTAATAAACTATTCAACATAATGCCAAAATAGCTAATGAACACAGCTGTTATTCAGTGCTTGGGATACTGATTTGTTTGACTTACTGTGCAAGTGAAAGAGGAAAAACAGACATGTTTTAAAATCCTATATTTAAAATGATTTAAAGATTTATCTATAGTTTTATTATAACATGATGGGATCTGTTACCTTAGCAACCCTTATTACTTAGCAATAGTAATCTAGGCAAAAAATCATGACAGCAAGGGGAAAAGAATTTTAATTCTGTGACCTCTGATTTATGGCGAGTTTAGTCGAGGTTAAGTAGAAATCTTTCAGCTCTGAACAATATTAATTGCTATTCAAGTTTCCTTGAAGAGCCTCATGAACAATTCCTCAAGTTTCATAAATGAGTGGCATCTACTGAAATAAATGGGTTTAACAGTAGTTATTAAAAGGTTAACCTTAACCAAGTTACCACATTGTATTACTTCAGATACCACAGTTATTTTCTGTACTGGGAAATAACTGCACTATCTCAGATGTCACAAGAATGGTTTCTTTTAAAGCAGAATTATGTACCTTTTAATGAGGAATAATGATAATGACATATCGTGGACAATCCACTGTTGATTAAAATATATAGTCAATTGATTAACAACACTTATGGTTCATTATTAAAAATATTTAAGAGACCAAATAACCAAGCGTAGCCAAATTTATTGCTTAAAAACAAAGCAGTGCAATACAAAAAGTAGATAAACGTACCCTCCTTTTGGGAAGCAATTCTTATCTTGCAGCATATTCACCTTCCACAGGTCTGCTTCCAAGATACACCCTCAAGATCACCTGTATTTTTATAATAGGGTTTTTTGACAGTTATAAACCCCTTTATATGCCATTGAAGATTCAACCCCCAATTCCAATTTGTTTCTCTTATACCATGGGGTACTCCACTTATCTTTTGTTTTGGACACAGTTTTCTAGGTACTAATCGTTGAGAAGGTATCTCCTAAGCTTGTACCAAGGGCAGATCATGTATCTTGTCTTTTACAAGTCTCATATTCGCTAACGCCAAAAGCTATGTTTAGCTTTGTAGACTGGGATATCTATCTCTTGGTATAAGTGAGCAAAAGTGTTAACATCATTGCCCACATGCTGAATATATGGTGCACCCTAGCCTAACATATGTATTGGTTAGCACCACAAACCATGAATTGTTTACTAAAGAAATTCATGAAACATTTCAGTAAATCAGAAATGTGATGTATTGAAATCAGGAAAATTTAATGATTGAAATTCACAGGGGGAAAAAGTGAACTTTTTCAGATCAATGATAAAGTGACAGTAATATGCTCATCTCTGTCAGAGAAACCCAGTATCCTGGAGAATCAGCTTCAGAATGAACATGCTGTTTGAAAATACAGAGACAGTTGAAAATAACTAAGCTCTACCAAAAACATGGTGCTTCTACTATGTCACCAAAAACCGGATTCATCTTTTTTTAATTGAACATTAGATGATAGCTGCAGAGCTCTTTAAAAATATTTTCCTAGTGAAAGTTATCACTGCCAGCTCAGAAATGACTGTATCCCTTAGTAATGTGGTGGTTAAACTAATACCTGTCTTTTTTTATTACTATTGTAAATAACTGTATGCATAAATGTCACTCATGTGCCTACAAACAGGAAAAAATGAATTATGGAATATCAGATGGGGAATGAAAGAATGCCATTAAGTATTTTTACATGTGTCAATATGATTATCTGTGAATCCTTCAGAAATGTTGAAATAATAATGCTAGAAATGCTTGCTGCTCAGCTGCTTTGACACTGATCAATGTACATATCGTTGTTTGACAGCTTTCAGATAGTAAATCTCCCTAATTATTAATACTCTCTCTAATTTCTTCCATATCACCACTGGATTTGTAAGGCTATGGTAAGTGCTTTTATACCAGTGAATGTTCTGAAATGTCATAGTCTAAAGGATTTCACAATTGTCACATTTCATGCTGACCTTTAATTGCAAATTAGAAATGCTGCTTTATGAGCAAGATGTTAATCCTAAATGAGGATATGGTTTATGAAAGTAGCCATCTGTTGAATAATAATTTTAAAATTACTAGAAATTAAAATATGTACATATCCTTTTTAAAAAGTGTTTAAATGAAAAAGCTTCCAGTTACAAATGGAAACAAGCAGATAACTTAAGGCCCAATCCTGCCAGGCACAGAGCACCTTCTCATGTGGTATATAGGATCTTTAATGGAAGTTGAGTATGTTCAGCACCTTGAAATTGACGTTGATTTAAATTGATTTTGAATTATTTGGACAATTTGGAAAAAACTTGTTTTTCCAAAATAAATCAACTTTCTGTGCAGTGTAGCAAGAGCTATGCTGCGTATTTGATATTACATCATGTAGAAAATCTGTTTTTTCCAGGCCCTATTTCTGGGGAATCTCCCCATCTGCTTTCCCAGTCTCTGCACCTTCTCTTTTGTCCCCACTGGAAAACACAGTGTTGGCTTAGAATGAACAGCAAGTAAGATGTAATAAGAGAATTCTGCCTGAGTAATCAATCTCAAATGGCTTGTTTTCGGCCGCGCAACACTTCCCGTTATTAAAACCCTGTTTTTCAGTTGCTCGTAACTTTATCAACTTTTAGCTATTTGGGCTGAAATTTTCCATGCTGGGTGTCTGCCTCAGGCTGTATATTTTTGAAAAAATTCAGCCAAATTCATTCAGTCGCTTACAAAAACAAGGCTAGGAAAAAATGTTATTTTGCCCAGGTTACAAAATTCTGGTGACTTTTTTTTTTTTTGAGAAGTCTCCAAACTTTGAAGCAAGGAATTGCACTTTGGCAGGAGGATGGCTTTTATGCCAGTGATATGGTTTTTGTAGTCCCTGAGCAAACCCGTCCCCAAATGTGGTCAAGTTTATAAGATTTTTAAAAATTCCAGATTGCACATGCTCATTAGAGACTTGCTAGACCTTCACAGCTAAATTCCCCCAAAATTCTGTTTCAACTGGGCATGCTCCAGCTTGGGACTGAATAGGACTTTCCTTTAAATTGTAGCTCTGGGTTGCCGTGGTCTGGGCCCTGGACTGGCCCTGGAACCAAGAGTAGGTAGTCTTAATTCTGGCATTTCCTGATATTTGAGTGTTTCACTTTGCAAACTTGATAATGTTCTTTTAACAGAGAGTGTGTGTGTGTGTGTGTGTGTATGTAATATTGTATTGTAAATCATTTTGTAGAAATTCAGAAAAATGGAAATTTACTTTACTTTAGCAATATCCTGTATATAAATGTCATTTTATTTCTCTATAAAGTATCACAGTGTAAAAACCAACATTCTTATCCAGGGGCTTCAATCATTTTTTATATATTTGATCCTTCCTTTGCGATCACTGAGGTAATATACCTTTTCATTGACATCACTTAACTAGAAAATATAACTGATATAAACTCTTGGAATCTGAGGTCTTTGCTCTCATTTACAGTTAGAAGCTCCTTTACACAGCAGTATAAAGGGGCCTTGGGATAAATGTGAATCAGGACCTGAAACTATATAACAAATCTCTCACAGGGTTTTAGTTTCCATTTTTACACTTCAAAACTGAGATGAGCTTTTACAGCTTATGATGGGTTAGACTCACTTTCCATGAATTACTTTGCAGCCTTGTGTTTATTTTTGGTCTGTTAGCATGAATCTTTCACACAAAGCATGAAGCCCTTTGGTGGGAAAAAAAAAGTCCAGATTAGTTGCCAAGATAGGCTGGTAGACGTAGATTGAATACCATCTGTATATATAAGTATCAACTAGCCCCTAAACACCATATTATCTGAATGCTCTTAAGTA